CATACATTACATTACATACATACATTACATACATACAAACATTACATTACATACATACATTACATTACATACAAACATTACATTACATACATACATACATTACATACATACATACATTACATACGTACATTACTTTACATACATACATACATTACATTACATACATACATTACATACATACAAACATTACATTACATACATACATACATTACATTACATTACGTACATACATTACATTACGTACATACATTACATTACGTACATACATTACATTACATACATACATACATACATTACATTACATTACATTACATTACATTACATTACATACATTACATTACATACATACATTACATTACATACATACATACATACATACATACATTACATTACATTACATTACATACATACCCGCTTCTTCCTTTCTGGGTTGCAGGGGTCACTGGTGCCCGTGTCCAGCCATCACTGTGTGAGAGACGGAGGACACCCTGGGCATGTCCAAGTCCATCACAGGGCCACATAGAGACAAACAAGACAACCATTCAGTCTCTCACTCACACCTAGAGACAATTTAGAGTTACCAATCAGCCTAACATGCATGTTTTTGGTCTGTGGGAGGAAACCGTAGTACCCAGAGAAAACCCACACATGCACGGAGAGAACATGCAAACCACCCAGAAAGGTCCTCAGCTGGGATTTGAGCCCATGACCTTCTCGCTAAGAGGTGGCAGCTCTACTACCTGAGCCACCGTGCTGCCCCTGGTCACATACTCTGTAAAGTAAAAAAACAAACAAAAAACTGAAGGCGAGGGGAGAAAATCCTCTTTTTTTTTAATGTTCCATCCTCATTTTCTGTGAACCAGTAGCGTCTGCCGTGTTGCCTACACTTTGGATGAAATCTCCCAAACGTTATCTTTATTTTGATATGAAGATTGTTTTGACAGTTTGTAATGGCTGACAAACGGTTTTATCTGAGCGTGGTATTGTCAAGCAGGGACTTCATGGAAATCTCTTGGAGTTTAACAAATTAAAAGAAAAACACAGGATTAAAGTACAAGTTGGTGGTTTGATTGAACGTCACTCTTCTGTTCACTCATTTCCTTTTCTTTTTCTTTACTCCTGTTTCTGCAGGGATCATGCTGCCCTCGCTGACTTCTTTTGTTTACTTCTCCATCTTCCTGTTCCTGTGCACCTGGTGGTCCCTCTGCCGGACCTTCAACACGCTCATCTTCAGCTGCATGTGCGTCCTCATGGCCATCTTCAGCGCCGGACACCTGGTGGTCCTCTACCTGTACCAGTTCCAGTTCTTCCAGGAGTCCATCCCACCACAGGACAGCTACATCAGGTCAGACACCAGGACGTCGTCCCCAGAAACAGTCCAATTACTAAAATGTCAAAACCTGGTCAGGTCAGCCATCTTTACTGCGTCTCCATCGGGGCGAGTTTGTTTAAACGGTAACAAATATTTACTTTTGTTACAAACAAGAAGGTAAATCAGGGATGAGGGGAGACAAACCCAGCTGGAGTGAAGGCGTTTGGCCATCGATGAGAGACGCCGAGGTTTTATGCTCTCCGGTAGAACCGTCGTGTTTTATTATGCATGAGCGAGGACACTCTGAGCTTCCTGTGGTCCGAGCGGTGAGACTCTGTGGTTGGAGCGAAGCCGCGCTGTTGTAAACACAGAACGGTAAAGAAAAGAGTTGAAACTCAAACACAATGAATGATTTTCTCTCAGCCACAGGACTCGTTTAGATTGGGTCAGCATGACTGTTTTAGTAGAGTCAGGTTTTCTGTAAACTTCAGGTCTGACTCACTTTGAGCTCCTTATTTATTTATTTTTGCAAACACAGATGAATCCTATTAATGTGTTGTTAATGTTGTTCTGAAATTTTACTCTTTTAAATGTGGAAAATTAAAAATACATGACGTAGTGTCACAAAAAGAAACAACAGCTAATATTAAGCTACAGCATTATCTATATTTAAATAACAATAATTTAATGCTGATTATCATAAAATCTAACTTTTTCAAAAACTTTTTTCAGATTATTGTGATTATTTTTGGCTGGGGTTTCATTTCATGACGTGGAGAAAAAATATGCATGTTTAGGATCTCAGTTTCATAATCATATACATGTAAAAGCATGTTTTTTGATTTCAGGAGATATGTATATACAGTAAAAATCATAATAATATGTAAATGACCATTTATTGAATGTTTTTTGTGACAAATAACCTTTTTTTATGCAAAAATCATCAACTTTCTGCTCTATAGGCAGATGAAAATTCTAATGAATAAAAATGACAAATACTCAAACATCCATCCATTCATCCATCCTCTACCACTTATTCATAGTCGTGTCACCAAGGCAACAGGTCCAGGAGACAAACCCAGACCTCCCTCTCACCAGTGACACTTTCCTGCTCCTACTTGGGGGACTCAAAGACGTTCCCAGGCCAGAGAAGATACATGCCCTCCAGCGACTTCTTAGTCTTCCCCGGGGCCTCCTACAAATGGGACGTGCCCAGAAAACCTCTAAAGGGAGGCGTTCAGGAGTCATCCTAATCAGATGCCCGAACCACCTCAACTGACTCCTTTTGATGCGGAGGAGCAGCGGTTCTACTCCGAGCTCCCCCCGGATGACGGAGCTCCTCACCCAGTCTCTAAGGCTGAGCTCGGTCACCCTACGAAGGAAGCTCATTTCAGCTGCTTGTATCCGTGATCTCGTTCTTGTGGTCGTGATCCAAACCTCATGACCATAGGTGAGGGTTAGGACAGAGAAAGTAAATTGAGAACTTTGCCTTTCAACTCAGCTCTCTCGTCACCACGACAGACCAAAGCAACGCCCTCATTACTGAGGATGAGGCTTTTAATCTGTCGATCCATCTCCCGCTCCATCCTTCCATCACTCATGAACAAGACACCCAGAAACTTGAACTCCTCCACCTGAGGCAAAGTCTCTCCTCTGACTTGGGATTTCCCAAGAAGATACAAATTTGTTTATTTTAAACAAGTAAAAAAAACTACAGTAGTTTATATCAGTTAAAGTTCAAACTGTTTACTGCTGCTTGACCTGCTGCATATAAAAACACAAGATACTGATAAAAAGTTAAATGCATAACTTTTTATGGACATAAACTTAAGGAGCGTTTTTAACAGCTCAACTGCCAATAATAATAAAAAATTTAGAGTTAAGAACGGTGCTAAATTATGACTCGCATATTAAAAAAAAAACTACAAATATAGTTTAAATTGTAAGCTGTAAATTAAAAACTTCACAAACTGCAAATACATCACCCAAGTTTCACAAAACTTTTCTTTTTCTTCTGCGTTATGAAGAAGCTAAATTAAAATACAATTTATCTAATTTGCAACAATAATGATAATATTAATGACGTGTCTTTCCAACATTGTTTCTTTGCAGCTGTGTCACAGGAGCGGCTGTCTTTTTGCCCTTGGCGTTGCAGTTTTATTGATTTCTCTCTTTTTCATTTGAAAGCTGTGCTGCTGTGTGTCAGGAATCCAGCTATTTACAGCAATAAATGGCTGAAACCTCCTGGAGCGAGGCCCACGTCCTCGCCATCCCTCAGCTGCCTCCGACAGCAGATGAGGAGGTCTTTAGACGTGTCATTAGCTGGAATGGACTCCTCAAATTATCTGTAAAGACAGAAATAGTGAGGATTTTTACACCAAGCAAGCTGGACTGGAAGTTCATCTTTTTTATGGTGACGTCTTTGTTTTAAAATCTAGTTAGCTTTGAATGAAAACACAGATTTTCTGAGAGAATAAACTCCATTCGGTGTTGCTGATGATTAATTATCATCTGTGTGGTCATGTTTTTTGCTCAGGTGTCAGAAAACAGATCTAACGCTTCCGTGATGGGTTCAGCAACAACGCAGTGACGTTTTCTGGCAGAAAGCGTAACGCACTTCTTTTGAACGTGTTCAAATGATGGAGCTCTGCGTCTCTGTGGACGTTAGCAGGACATTCTGGAGACTCCTTCATAAATGCTGTTTGCTAACAAGCTGCCAGCAACTGCAGCCCATTGAGACATTTCCTCAGATGTATAGAAAATATGTTCAGCAGCTTCTTTTTCCTTATTTGGCTTCCCAGATATGGATGATACTGAGTACTTTTACCATTTTGGACATAAAATGTATTTCTCTAAAAAGTTTTTGAAGCTACTCTGCACTTAAAGGAGTCAGTAGAGGTGGTTCGAGCATCTGATTAGGACGTCTCTCTTTGGAGGCTTTCCAGGCTCGTCTCACTGGGAAGAGACTCCTCCAAGGCAGAACCAGAACTTGCTGGAGGGATTATATACTCTCTGGCCTGGGAACGCCTCTGGGTCCCCAAAGGAGGACCTGGAGAGCGTCACTGGGGAGAGGCAGGTCTGGGTTTCTCTCCTGGACCTGTTGCCTCCACGACCGGTCTTTGAATAAGTGGTAGAAGATGGAAATGCTTTTTTTTTTTTCAGGTTAGAAAGAACTCATACTGACATTAAAAATATTTTCTTTAAAGAGGTGCTTGTCGTCAGGTCTTTAAACAGAAGACTTAAAAAAAAATTCAGATAGAAGATATCGATTTGTATGCTTTTATTTTTCTTATTTGGTCGCCTTTTGCTCAAATGGGCCAACTCCTCACACATTCATGTTGACTTTCCACCGCACTGAGGTGTTTCTGTCCGCTGCAGTGTTTTTCCTCACCTCTGCCACCGTTTCCTCCACACACACCTTCAGGCAGTCGGGGCCAAATCCTCAGGACATAAATACGTGCAGCCCCTCCGTAGGTCAGCAGCGGCTGCTCTGTCCCTGTTGACTGTGGCTCGGCCTCGCTCTGGGTCTGGTGCTGAGTGAGGCCGCTGAGAGGCCTGGCTTCCACTCTACTTCCTGCCTCTCGCCTCACAATGAAAGTCCCCGGTCCCGTGACCGCACCGGTTGCCCCAAGCTTTAAGACGAAACTCTTCAGGAAGCGTGCCGGGCTCAAGAGGGCCGTCGCTCCTCCACATGGCAGAAAGGAGTCGTCTCAGGAGACTTCTAAATCCGAGTGTTAGTCACACATACGTCCTGAGCAGATGGACAAAGTTCTGCTCAGGAAAGGAGAGAATCAGGCCACATCCTTTGTTGGACAAACAAACCCCTGCCCTCGATGCATTGTTCACATTCCAAGGTCAAAAGACTTTCCTAAGTGTCAAAATAGAGATTTCTCATTTATTTTCAAACAGAATTAAACAGTTCTCACTGAGTAAAACTGCAAAGGCTGAGAAATATAACTTAACCTAGAAATATAATTATGATGATGTAGCAAAACAAACAAACCAACACAAAACATTTTATCTGGGGGTTATGTTACAGACACTCCCGTGATAGGTGAAAAATCCACAAAGAAGGGGCATTATATTTATTTTAGTATTTATATATATATTGGAAGTCTTTATAAACCCTTGCCACGTTCTTGCAATGTTTTTAATGTTCTAAACTCTCTAAACGCTCTAAAAGAGCACAGTGAAAGAGAGCAGACAGACTGTTGCTACGGTTACTGAGACAGTCCCAGGGGCGGACTGGCCATTGGGATCACCAGGACTTTTCCCGGTGGCCTGGCCCGCTCAGCCTCAGAAAAATAAAGGAGAGGACCCCTCGGCGATTACTGAGCGGGCCAGGCCACTGGGAAATGTCCCGTTGCTCCTGATGTCCAGTCAGCCCCTCTTCATAATGCTCTGGTTGGTTGCCTTCTATTAACCAGCCAATCGTGTGTCTTGTACAATCTTACGTTGAAAACCCACGTAAGATGAGTTCTCGAAAGTCGAACTGCGAAGTATCGAGGGACTACTGTATTTGCAGCTTGCGAGAAGCAGTATTTATTAAAACAAACAAATAAGGTTTTTCATGGGCTCTGTGACAGAAACTTGATACTGAAGAGATTGCTGAAGTATTTTAGTTTGTTTGCTTTTAACAGTATGGCAAAAGTGTAGCATTTGTGCCAAACAGCCACAATTTATTAATTACTGAAGTCCTTTCATCTCGTTACTCTTCAGGAGTCTACAGAATAAACTGTCACCTAATAAAACTGACCTCAGATTTTACTTGTGAATAAAGAAGCAAAACTAAACAAACATCATCATGTAAGCCCGACAAGAAAATATGGAACAGAAACAATCTTTTTCTTAAACTGAACCGTTTTCCATCGCATTAAAAATGCACCGACCAATTAACACAGTGAGGCAGGAGTTTTCTGTTTATTTTGTAATCTTTTGTGTTTATTGTTTGGTTTATTTACCGCCCATCTTCACCTGTTCCTCGTTACCATTAAACCAGCTGTCTCCGATCTCATCGGCCCCGACCTTCACCTCACCTGCAGTCTGGCATTGTGGAGACTCTGACCAAGTCTAGGTCTCCTCCACATCTCCTTGTGTTTTTGTTAGTTTGTGTTGTTTGCTGCCATGCCAGCTTTTTGTGTGTTTTTTGTTCCATTAAATATTTAAGTTTTATTCAGTCTCTCCATGTTTGAGCTGCGCTCTTGGCTCCCTTCAAACCACAGAGATGCCCGAGGGAGGGCGGTTCCAAAATTTCTCGAAACATTTTCAAGTGTTCTCAGTTTTAGACTCACACTCGTGTCGCAGGAACGTTGAATGCGTTAGGCAAATTTGATATTCAAATTTTCTTTAAAACTAGTCACCGAGTCGTCACAAGTCGTCTGGAGCTCGTCTCAGTTCAGTCACTGAGACAGAAAGAGAGAAACATTTGTCACGACTTTGCGAGGTGACTTCTGAAAACAAACTGTGATTGGCTGGAGAGGAGTTGAAATTGCAATTAATTGGAGATGTGATGGGGACATAATTAAAAAAACGTTATAACTAAATTACAACAAATAAATGTGCACATCATTTGCAGGAATGCTGTGATTTATTTGCTGTTACGCAAAAGTGCCTTTAAGTACCAATTCAGTGTTATTTTAATGTCAATATCAATTTATTTATATAGCACATAAAAACAATAAAAGCTGACCAAAGTGCTTTACAATTCTGCGCTCTTTAATTCATCAGGTAAACTGTTCCACTATATGGCAGCAGCAACTGCAAATTTTTAAGAGAATTCAAATATTTGCATTAATAAAATGCGTGTTTGTAGAAAATCTTGAACTGAATAAAACAAATTGTCTTTTGCTTCAACGCCCGCCTGTTTTGTCTCTGCAGAGTTTTTGGCATCTCCCCCATCGTTCAGACCAACTGCTCCTACACGTGGAAGCTCATTGTGAGCCCGGAGCGTAAGTGGTACCACTTTGTCAACCCCATCATGCTGCTGATCCTCTATTACACCCTGGCCACACTCATCCGCCTCTGGCTGCAGGAGCCCATCGACCAGCTGATGGTGAGCACAGCAGACCGAACACGAGAACTCCTTTTTAGTTCACCGGGTCGGGATATTTTTAGTTTAGAACATCAGTTCAGTATTATGTTCAGGTTTGAACGTGCTCATTGGTGATCTTTTAGATCATATTTACAGTATTTTACATAACAAAAATGAGACAAACAAACCAGCATTTTTTAAGTAAGCTGGGGTTTTTATTTGTTACATCACACACAGAACAGACAGAAGTTGATGAAGAAGGAGTACGCCGTTCGGTTCATTGTCCTAATTTATGTAATGTGTTGTCATTCAGTTGTCACTTCCTGATTTCAAACTCCCCATTAACACCCACTCCCTGGCCACCCTTGTAAATGCAGGAAACAATTAGGCGAGGGCAAGACGGAGGAAGAGCCAGCTGATCGTATTATACGCAGCTTAATAATGACAGCGGATTATCGCCTCCTGCAAAACGGCACGTGATTTAACAATTTGTCCAACTGTTTAACTCCAGTTTGCTGTGAGAAACCAGAACAGACGCTACAAATGACACCTTCAGAGCAGCCTCAGAGTAAACCACAGACCGTGAGCTGAATTAAACAGACGGACAGGTGGCTTTTTAAGAAGAGAAGCCTGAGGATTCCACCGTTAGAGGGTGATGCATTATCTGAGACATCGTTGGTCTAAGAAGTAGCAGGAAAAACTCATTGTGACACTTTGTTAAGGGGTGACATTGTTTTGCAGTAGGGCTGCACAGCAACTACCATATTTTCCGCCATACACGTCGCACCGCCGTATAAGTCACATCAGTCCAAATATGTCTAATAAAGTGGAAAAAAAACATAAATAAGTCGCTTCGCCGTATTATGCGTCACCGCTGACAACCTGGAAATGTCGGCCGGTGTTGTGCCAAAAATCGATTGGCTGCCAAATGGCATCCGCAGGAGCATGCACGGGAGAACTTTAACAAGAATTTAACAAGATTACCACTTAAAAACAATTATTTGTTTGCTCGACATTATAGTAAAGGTGTGTCTCAGTTGAACTTTTACTTAATAAATGCACTTCAATGGTCAAATCAGCTGCATTTCGCCGGGGCGTTACAGTGAAAAGAAGCTGATTTGACGGTTGCTCCAGGCACGATCACAGAGCTGGACGAAGGTGTCAAGCTATGGCAAGCCGATTGTGTCATTTATAGCTACTTTTTACCTATTACATGACACAACGGCATGCCATACTACTCGAGTGCCATCTAGCGGCTGAAAATGGTAGTGTTCAATATTTTCAATGTCGGAATGAATGAAAACGGTCATTTCTCAGCCAAAAATTGGTTTATAAATATGGGAAAAAAAACATAAATAAGTTGCTTTGGTGTATAAGTCGCAGGGCATGTAAATCATGCAAAAAACTGTGACTTATAGGCTGGAAAATACAGTAAACAGTTGAGCATCTATTGCAGTAATGTCCAGTCCTGGTTCTCGAGGGCCACTATGCTGCATGTTTTCCTTGTTTCCCTGAACTTCAGCAACACATTCATTCAAATCAGGTGTGTCAAGTCAGAGAAACGTCTAAAACATGCAAGATTGTGACCCTCGAGGACGAGGGGCCTCATGTACAAAGACGCTCGGATCTTCTACTGAAACATGGCGTACACTTAATTCAAGAAAGCAGTGTACGCACAAATAAACCCATGTGTATGAAACTGTGCGTACGCATGAATCGAAGAAGACTTCCTTCTTAAATCCCAATCGACGTGGAATTGAGCGCACATGAGGGAATACCCGACTCCTCCCTTGATGCCCCTCCATTTAAACATGCCTCATACCTGAGGAATCTCCTCTGCACTATCTTAAAGCATGTCCACACATGGGAACAAGAGGAACTTCACAGAATGTGAGTTGCAGATGCTTCTAAATGAGGTTGAGTCTCGTAGAAACATCCCGTTTGGCACGCTGTCCCCTGGCATTAGCTCCAAGAGCAATATGAGTGAGTGGGACAATGTGTACGAAGCTGTAAATGGTCAGAGCAGCGCACACCTGCAGAAATTAAGAAAAGATGGTCAGACATATTAGTACGTTTAAATTAATTTATTCACCAAGAAACCTCTCATCCCACGTCGTACCAGCGTGTGTAGTCTGTTCCAACCATGCTGTTCGTTAGAATGAACAAATCATGTGTTGAACCATGCCACCTCGCCACAATGTTGGGTAGTTGCTTTTGCACATCACATATAATTTGCACATTGGCTGAATGAAAATTCTTCCTGTTAACATAAGTTTCTTCATCCTGTGATGGTGCTTTTATAGCAATGTGTGGGCAGTCGATGTCTCCGATTATGTTCGGAAAACCATCTGTCACTGCAGATTGTGCTTTAATGTTGGCCTGTTCATCTGCATCGTAGGGAATTTGATATATCTGGATGTCATACGGCTAATTCCATCCCACACAGCTGGCATGGCTCGGCTCAGGGTCGACTGGCACAGTCCTAATCGGTCTGCCGGCTCCCTCTGGAATGCCCCTGTTGCTAAGAACTCCACTGTGGTCGGCAGCTGTATGTGCACAGACAGCGCACGGCTCCGCGCTGTGTCACACTCCAAGCACAGTTCTCTAAACTAAACTAAACTAAACGTCTGAGTCAGTTGTCATCGTGGGCCAGAAAATCCTCTCTTTCTCTAAATACACGCTCTCTTCATATTGCGCCATTTGCTTTATCCTCTAATAAGGCTGAATCCGTTGTTGTTAAAGGTATTTTCGGCACCGCTTTGTGCATGTTTTTATATCCACTCATCTAATTTCATACATGTAGATGTATTAATTGTTAATCATGTGTATCCGGTGTGTACAATAACAGTTGTCACATCTTTAACAGTTACCCAGTATCCAAGTGCCGGACCAACATCCATAGAAACGTCCAAACGCCAGCCATGAAGTTGGCGTGGGGCTGCGCACAGTTCCACGGACATTTCATTCTTGACACATCTGGAGTTTTGCATGAAAAATGGGCGTACGCCACATTTTTGTGCGTGCGCACCTTCTTGTACATGAGGAATTCTGCACAGTATCTTAAACATTTACCAGTATCTCAATATCAGTGTGCAGATGGAACCCTGTTCTCAAACCGTTCACAGCCGGCACATGGTGAGGGTTGTCGGTGCTGATGGTTGTAACATTTTGTACATTAATGTTACAATTACATGTTTTAATATGGTTCTGCAGCCCTATACCTATTTATACAAACCTAAAACTACAATTGTGTATTTAGTTTACTGTCCAGATCAAATCTGGAATACAGTAGTCCCTCGTTTATCTCGGTGGATCCGTACCCTGAAGCCCCGCAATAAGTGAAAAACAACGAAGTAGGAATAGTATTATAAGTAGTAAGTAGTAGTTTATATATATATATATATATATATATATATATATATATATATATATATGGCGTTTTAAACCCTTCCCACACTCTTGCAATATTCTAAATATTGTTTCTAAACACTTTAAAAGAGCACAGAATGTCATGATTTCAGCTCCCTGCCTCCTCTGCTCTTTGCCACCTGCAAGCGCTCTTGGCCACGCCCATTTCTCCACTCTGCACGAGAACAGCTGATCAGCTGCAGCAGGAAGTTTATCTTGCAGTGTGGGCTGCACAAAGGTGAAATGTATTTTAAATGTTAAAAAATTCCATGCCGATCGTGCAGTTCATCCATCACTCAGCCATTTGTGTGTCATGTCCAGTCTTATTTTGAAAAACCTCGATAGAGCGAGTCCGCGATAAACAAACCGTGAAGTAACGAGGGACTACTGTAAATCTGAAGACATCTGCAATAAAAACGCAATGTAGGTTTGATAAGTGGTCACAAAGTCAAGGTTTGTTTCCACAGCTGTAAAAGCGTTAAAATAAGTATACAGTACATTTAATATAAATACTTTCTAAATCAGCAATAAATCCGAACTACAGCAAAAAACATATTTATCATGTAAACTAAAATGTCAAACATTTCCTACTCAAGCAGGTCTAAGCCTGTGTCTAAAAATTGTTTTTATCTTTGATTTAAGATAAGACGTCTGAGCAGCTTTAATGTAAATGTCCTCTAACTTGGAGGTATATTAACAATATAAATAATTGCATTTGTGTTAAAAGGATGTAAAACGTATCACTTGTGGGAAAGAACTGATAAACATCAGTCAGTTCCTCAGCTTTATGTTTGTTTTAGCTTCGCAGCTGATTGACGTGATTCATAATTCTTGGTCTCGCTTCACAATAAACGTTTTGTAAAAAGTATCTTTTAGCTGATTTTTATGTTTTGGGATTTTACATTTAACAACAAAGGGACCTGTTTAGAAAGAACAAAATAAAACTTAAAGGAAATAAAGTTTTAAACCAAATCATCTTTAAATTTATGAAGCAAATAAAATTTATGCTAAACATCTGAAATATTTGACCAACTTGTATAAATGATAAAGAAACATGTCAACGTCATTTATAACTTGTCTCAAAATGGGCAAAGTGCGTTTTTTTAACTGGTTTTTAAACTTTTTCTGCGACCAAAAGCAGAAATTTATATTCCTTCTGTTGGTTAAAGAACACAGATATCACTAATCAGCCAATTAAACAGGCAAATAATGACATAAACAACCTCAATGATTATTCTACTGTTTGTTTGTAGTTACTGATTTTATCTCATTTAGCATTCATGATGAAAATATCCTGTCAGCAAAAGTATTTAGTATTTCAGGTCTCTCTTGTAAATGAGTCCCCGAGGCTTAATGGCATTAACCTGTATAAATAAAGTTGAATGAATGGATTTGAACTCAGCTTTACGGCTGCTGATCATCTCAAAATTTTACTCCAAATCTGTGCTCTTGGACTGAAAGTGCATTTTTCATAAGATAAGATGATTCAAGAAAATGTGATAAATTACGATAAAATACGCTGTCATCGTATGCTCCGTCTGCAGCAGAAGGTTTTGCTAGTACGTGAAAAAAAAAATCCTCACTGCTGAAACGACTGCCGGGTGAAATTTTATGTAACGTTGTCACTTTCAAAAAATCAACTTCAGTTTTCCTTCAGCTCTGAGCTGGAGGCTCAGCTCCTCCATCTTGTAATGGAGTTATAGATCAGTGTTTTTATAGAGGGGTCAATACTTCCCTTCAAATCTGCAGGGCTGTATGCATTATTGATCCCTGCAGGAAAATACACGTGTGTGTGTGTTTACCTACTCTCACACTTTAGATTAGAGGCTAATAATAAAATGTGATTGGTGCCTAAATCAGCAGCTGACGGGTTTGTTCAAGGGTAGAGATGTCAGGTTATGATGGAGCTCGTCTCCGCAGAAACAACGAGGAAGAGCGGACGTCCTGCTGCCACTTCAGTCTCTTTAATGCTGGACTCGGAGGTCATCGAGTGCAAACAAAATAGAAACACAAAACAGTGATTTTACTTAAAAAATAAAAAGGAAAGTGATGTTAGACTAGACTTTTTGTCATTTTCTCCCTCTGAAGTAAGAATGGTGAGCACATTTTAAAAGATTGAGTATAAATATAGTAACAAGAACAGCATAAATCAAAACAGCCAAAAGAGGAAAAGGCAGAAGCCGATGTAGTTTAATCCCATGTCAAAATATGAAAATCACTCAAAACAGGAAAAAACAATTTTCGCATAAATATCCCTTGATATTTAATATAATCCACATTTATACTGATTTTAAAACATTTTTACCAAAATACAGATTTTTTTATTTATTTATGTTTTAGCTGATGCGTAATTCCACTCCCAGAACAGAAATTATGGATTGAGTTTTTAATTTAGTTAAATTGTCAGGGTTCACCAAAATTAAAACTAATGGGACAATTTGTTTCTCTTAGAAAGTATTTAAAACGTCAAATATTTACAAACTACTTGCAGAGTATAAAGCAGCTCGTGGAACAGAAACCTGTTAAAAAGTTGCATTCCCTTGGAGGATTGCATATCGCCCGCTGCTCTGTTTTAAACAAACTTTGTTAATGCTAAGAGTATATGGTGGAGCTAGCTTTCAGCTACTACATCACCAAGATTTAGCTCAGTATCTGTAAAACTGACTGAGCTGTAGCCATTTTTGTGTTTGCTGAAGTTAACATGGCGGCCATCTTGAATCAGATCAACTCCATTGAGATCTTTTTAATTCCTTCAAAATGTTTTCTTTTATATCTGCTCCAGCTGTTGGCTCCATTTTTATTGTCTTAAGCTATTTTTAGCATTTAACTACCATTCTTCCACTTTTAGCTTTTAGCTAGCTATTTGTTACCTTTAGCTTTTAGCTAGCATTTTGATTCTTTAATGTAGCTTTTTTCTACTTTTAGTTTTAGTTACCATTTTGTTAATTTTATTCTCTTGCTAGCTTCTGATACTTTTAGCTAGTCTTTTGCCACTTTAACTTTTAACAACTATTTTGCCAATGTTAGCTTTTAGTTTCAGACATTTTCAATTAAACTCAGAAAAGCTACCGTGAACGGACAAAAATCAACCTGGATGTTGAGGAAATTGTATTTCTTTATGAAGAACTTTTATATTCAGTAAGATATAAATGAAGTTATTATTAATCTGAAAGATGAGATTACAAAAGGATCTCACCAGGTACAGATTTAAAGTATTTATTAAAAAATAAATAAATCACATTTTAATGTGGGCCGGATAGAGTATTTAATATTTTTTGATCACCCATCGCAGAGCTAAGAGGGGAATTCAAAATATCTTTCGTCCATCTGTCTTGTGAGTTTTTGGCTCCATCTAGACATAAGAAAGGTCACCAGCGAAAATTGGGTTGCCTCGTCAAAATCCAAGATGGCTGACATCATATATGTATGTTGATTACACCAGTCATTTGAGAAAACTATTCTTTCTAGTTTTTATATCGTTTAAGAGTAGCTTCCTCAAATGATCGTAGTGACTGGTGGGGTTGCTGAAGATTAATCTATGGTGGTCAAGGCCACCATTGGCCACCCCCTGGCTCCACCGTTGTACCTGTTGGTGGATAGAACTTCTCCTTCCTTTGCTCCCTCGCTGTTCTTCTACACAGTGGAACTCCTAACCGCTTCAATATCTTGCACCAAAAACATTAAGGGTCACTTGCATTCCTTGTTCAATTCCATTCCGGAAAAACACTCATGTCAAAAACTACAAACATTCACTATTCAAACGACGAAGGACATCGGCATACCGCTTGTTTTTATTTAGTATTATTAACTTTTATTTAACAAGTCAAATCCCATTGAGATCACAGATCTCTTATACAAGAGAGGCCTGGGCCTGAAGGCACACAAGCACGAGAAGAACATGCAAACTCCACACAGAAAAACCCCAGGTCCAACCAGGGATTGAACCCAGGACCGTCTTGCTGTGAGGCAACAGTGCTAACCACTGAGCCATTGTGCTGCCAAGCCCAAATTTAAAACCCAAAGGCTTTGACAGGATGAGGTTACTCTCAATAGCGTCGCCAACAATTGGTGTCACAACAGTGGGCCGAGCCCAGAGGTCAGAGCGGAACGGCAAACTGTTTTTTTCTGTGTTTTTTCAGGACGACAAGGACGACGACATGTGCGAGGAAGACGAGCAGAGTGGAAACCGAGCCAACAGGAAGAGGCAGATGTGGTGGGAAGCCCGCCAAGGCACGGACGAGAAAAATGTACGCCAGCAGGAGTAACTCGCGCATGAGCGGCGCTCATCGATTATCGGACACTTGAAGCAACCGTCCTGCATGTCGTCTGAATTAATACTTGTAGCAGCTGCTCTTGGCTGCCGACAAAGCAAATAACCTATTTCTTTTTTTGCCAGAGTTGCCTGGAAAATTTTTATTCTGTTTAGCTATGAATCAAAAAATGAGAAAAATGAAACAAACTATTAATATTTTAGTAGTAAAGGAGGTAAACTGGAGCTTTTTGACTCGTCCCTGGAGTTATAAACACACTTGTCGCTCCCACACACACCTTGTTACAGAAAAGTGTGCGTCTAGCAGCCACCCTTATTGTGCAGAAACAGAAGTCTGGTTTCTCTTTTAGCACTGTTGGGCTTTCGTTCCTGCTTATCAGTGTCTGTAACAGAACCAGGACGCCTCGTGGATAACACAACTCGCCTCGTATGCTCTTTTTCTTCTCCTAGCTCCTCTCCACGCAGGACGGCATCAGTACAACCGAGGTGCGGCTGCTCTGGCTGTGTTTTTACATCTCCTCCTCTTCCGTCCCTTCACTTTGTTATCTTTCTGCAAGAAAACAAGAACTGCTTTTCAGACTGCATCCTCGTGCACAGCACAAGGCTACAGCTAATCTGATGAAAGGTTCTGCAAAATAGTAAATCTACGTTGTGATATAAGAGACGTGGAACGAAATCTGCAGCTTTTCTAATTAATTCCAGGGTCTCTTTCCTTAAAGTGTAAGCCATTTCCATTTTTAAAAGCGGAGACAAATCTAAGTGATATAATTGGTTAAAAATAACATGCAGTGTGAAAAGTAGCAAAAGAAACCCTTCCAATGCCCCGCAAAGTCAAAACATCGTACCTAACGGACAATTTAAATGAACAAAAGTGAAAATAACATTTATAAAAATCTGGTTAGGATGATAATTTTAGTTGTTTATGTTTTTGCCTTTGCAGGGCAGAGTGTTGTAGAGGTAATCCCTTAAAAAAAAAAAAAAAAAAAATGTGTTCAGTACTATGAAAAGTTCCCTAAAGTTTTCTGATGCTCTGCAGGCGCTGCCCACCGCCAACGGGACGTCCTTTGACTTCATCACCACTGAGAACGGGCCGGTCTGCCTGGACCTGTACTCCACCCCCCAGTATAAACTGGACAAGCCCAATGACGACATAGGTGAGCGTCTCACCAGCTGCCATATCGTTTTAGAGATAACCTGAAAACAAACTGAAGGATAATGGAGCCATTACCATGCCAGAGTTGAGCTCAGTATTTGTAAAACTGACAGAAATGTTATTTTAGTGTTCGCTCAGTTCGATCAGGCTGGGGTGGACTCTGAAGCGATTGCTTTTCTGAGACACAAAGTTTGTTTTCTCAGTCATCCAGGTATATAACAACAAAAAA